GCCAAGCAGATTTGTTGTCCCCAAAAAGGAGAAGAGTCAGAGAGCCTGTGACATCTACTAGAAATTTTGTTATTGCTATTGATTTTATATGAAATCATCTACTAAAGGGAGGGATGGCACTACAAATTCTTGAGAGAGAGAAAGGGATGGAATTATCTTTATATCAGTGGTAGTTCTGGAGATCTCTTAAGCTACATCTACACAATGGAGCTATACCTCTGGTATCCTGAAATAGCTATTGCACATCTTTAACACAAGCCTGTTATATCAAAATATAACGCTATTATGACATCCTAGTAAACCTCATTGCAGGAGGGATAAGGGACATTTCAGAATAGCACCTTATTTTGAAATAACATTGAAATAAGCTATGCAATTTGCATTGTGGAAATTGTGTTGCTTATTTGGAGGCAAGGGTGCTGTGTAGACACACCCTTAGTGACTACATACACTTGGGCTGATAATAGATAATAGGAGTGATTTGTCCTAGATGACTGCAATTTTAGTCAATTTTATTTGTCTTTATAATTACTATAGTAGACTCACCCATGTTTAATTTCAACAGCTTGACAATAAAACAAACGTATGTTTCATTTTAAAATATACTATAAATTTCAGTGTGTTGTACTGACCACCATATGGGTTCTCAACCTGGGGCTAATTCACCTCATGATGGGCACTAACAAGTCTAAAGAGACAGTAGCCTCTTTTTCTCGAAGGTTAGGTGGGAGGGGATGGATCCTGAAAGTATGGGAGAAGAGTTCTGAAGCTTTTTACTTGTATAATATGGGGTCACAACATGAAAAAAATACCCAGTGATCTAATGCAAATCTTTTAGGGTATGTCTACACTAGAAAGTTAGTTCGAACTAACGCATCTAGAACTAAAAACTAGTTCGAACTAGCAAAACGCTAGTTCGAACTAACGCATCTAGAACTAAAAACTAGTTCGAACTAGCAAAACGCTAGTTCGAACTAAGCGCTCCGCTAGTTCGATTCAAATTCGAACTAGCGGAGCGCTTAGTTCGAACTAGGAAAACCTCATTTTACGAGGACTAACGCCTAGTTCGAACTAGCTTAGTTCGAATTAACTAATTCGAACTAAGTTAGTTCGCACTAGCGCTGTAGTGTAGACGTACCCTTAGAGACAAAGGGTTCAGGATTGTGGTTTATTTTACACAAATTTCGCTAAGCTATCTACTGCCATAGTTTATGGAAATTTGTTCCTTCTCCTCACTAGCTCCTTTACTACATCTGAGAAATGTATTCTTTGGTATTAGAAAAAAAAAACCTCTTCTGGTAATATGATCTCAAAAGTAAAAATATAAGAAAAGATTTCCAGTCATTCATCTTGTTTCTTAAAAAAAAAAATCAGATGAGAATTTTGTCTCTTTCTATTATCAGATCTCTCTTCTGCTATTTCCTTCTTCAATTTAATTAAAAAATAATGTAATGGAAAAATCTGTGATGACACTGCCTAGTTTTTCTTCACATAATTAAAATGTATTAAATAGTGTTCTGTGCAGTGTAAAGTTATACATTTTTAATTAAATATATTCCATCATCTGATAGAGATTCCTCATGTCTACCCTGTCAAGGATTACTTAATGTTTTCACTCCATACAAGCACTCGGTTAACCTAGTGTTGAGCACCATAAAATGTATATTACATTAATAAATAGAATAAACACAATGTTAGGACTAGGATACCTTTTATTTCAGATTGTATAGCGTCTGACTCTTTGGTCTTTACGTAAGGCTTATGTAATTACAATCAATTTATCGGCTTCTTACATCATCCCTACACAAGAAAGAAATTTTATTTTCAACTGTTAATTGAAAA